GGTAGCTTCGTTGGACATGGTCCCTGATTGTACGCCATGTCCCCCTGCTGCACAAGGAAAACAACTGTGAAGCTAAAACAATCCGAAAGGATCCCTATGATTCCAAGGGTTACACACACACACACACCGTCGCACCCCGGTCGCACAGAACGACCCGAGCGACCCGGCGCCTCGCTTTGGGGACAGGCCAGTCCATGCACCGACAAGAAAGCCCTGGCGGATTGACACAAGGCGACAAAAACGCCAATGTGCAAGACCAGCAACTGTGCGATAATGAAGAATTGGCATCGGGCACGGCCCTTGCAGGCGTATGAGTAGAAGAGATCGGGCCAAACGATTCATCATGACAAGACACTGTCAGGTGAGCGTTGAAGCAACCTGCAACCGTGCTTATGTGGTGAGGGACATGTCGGCATCAGGGGCGCTATAGCTGCTATCCCGTCGTACTTTGTCTTTGGCTTCGGCACCAACCAACGGCCCAAACCAACAACCGCGTCCGACCAAGTCCGAGATGGGTCTTCAGCACTGCAAGAGCCTGGCTTCCGGAAGCGCTTCCGCCAGAGCTTTCTGCACCATCAGAACGGCCTGGGTGTGTGAATGTTTCAAAGCATTCAGCTACCCATGGTGGGCCGGGTTTGTGATCATCTTCACAGGAACTTGGGGCCGACAGGTTGCGTTTAGGGCAGGGATTAGTTCTTCTTTCGCTGCCAATCCTGACAAATTTAGGCTCCACCTCCCCTCCCTCCTCTTCCATTCGACCATTCCCATCAGCCGGACTGGCCCCCCACGTCCAGCGTGGCCGTTGCATGGTCGCCCAGGCCGACCACGCGGAGGAAGCTCGTCTCCACCTGCAGACGCGGAGACGCCGCGCTGTGGAGCGAAGGGAGGCGAAGCCGATTTGGGGTCGGTTTTGGCGCAGCTTCGTCCAGCTGGGCGGGAAGGGGAAGGTGAGAGATGGTCCCAGTACCTTCGCTGTCACCGCATGGCATCCAATATAAAAGCTTTCGGTCAGTACAGTCTCCTGATCGATCGGGAGTGAACTCTCCGTTGCTCGGGTGGGAAGCCCAGGTCGAAGGTCGAAGGTCGAGCGCAAAAGCGCTCGTGCCGTCACTTCAAGAATCCAAGAACTGAAAAACATGTTGATAAAACGGTTTATCAAAAACAAGAAGACTCAAGAACTGCCATGGTCCAGAAATGATTCAAGGTGGACTGCCATGGTCCAGAACATTTGATCCTGGAATTGTCTGCACCGCCACCTTGAACCCAATTCCTTTCCCCATGTCGGCTCTATCTCACCTGCTTCGCCAGCTCTGCACGCGCCAACTCCTGTGCCCGTGCAAGCTGAGCAAATGGAAGGAAAATGTCGGCTGAGTAGCTGTAGCCGCCGTAGCCAAATTCCCCAAATTCCCCCCCAAAGATGGACCAAATCGATGGTTCCATCGCAAAAAAAAGCAAAAAACGGACAACAGAAAACAGAGACCGTACCTGCCACGGTTGACACCCACCGACCCGTCCCGTCCGACCCGTCCGTGGTCCTCCGAATCCAAGGAGTCCATGGACTGCCTCAAGGCCTTGGAGCACATGGCCAGCGGCCAGTGGTCACAGGCTTCCGTGGCCGCGGGGGAAGCGGATGTGATATGGATCTGATGAATTTTGTCAAAATGGAGATGGTCAGAACATGTTAAAACAAGAAAAAAAAGGATTGGGATCTGATATGATAGCCTGTTTCGAGTTTCTTTTGGATTTGTCAAAGCTTCAACTACAGCTCACAGGTCCTGCACACTAGCAAGAAGATATGATAGCAAGCCTCTCATGGCGGGGGTAAGGGGGACCACTTGCACAAGCGCGGCCCCCGGCCCCTTGAAACCAAATGACATCGAGCAATCCTGCCACTGAAACACACCCATTTTCCTGGTTCTTCTCCTAGTGCCGCGCAGTCATGCCCACCTGGACATCAAGAACGGCCTGCGGCATGTCCCACCTCCTTGGGGTTCGCCTAGCGACGTCGAAGGACGTCGCCGCCCTAGGGCTGCCGACCAACACGAGATGCGAGGACACGTCCAGATCAGGCCTGGCCAGCTCGCTGGACGTCATATGCTGGTGGAAGGAAGGCAGTCCCGTGCTTGGCCGCCCCCCTCCACGGCGCCAAGCTCAGTCAGGCCCAGCCTCTCAAGGTGTAAGGGCCTTCGCCAACGGAAGGTCAACTGCATCTGGCAGAGACATCCCATGTCACCACTGGATGACATCTTGGCTCTCAGGGAGTTAGCAAGCCTCTGCACTGCATCGATTAGGGAAATGTCTCCGCTTGCACAGGAAAACGGGTCAGACAAGTCATGAGTGCGGTGGCTCGTGGTTGGACACCTGAATCTGAAGCTTCATTCTATGCTGCCCCGGAATCCGCTTGCGCAACGAACGCGACGAAAACGACGAGCACCCAAACCAAGGTGTTGGGAGCATCATCCTCAACATGAGTACAGTAGAAAAAGTGTCTTTGTGGGATGTTCGTCTACCCTCATTGGAGCCACTATCTGTGCTGACCAGCACACACTATCTATCCATATCTATTCAATGAATTCTGTGCAGGGTATGGTCAATGCTTGGAAGGAGGACAGACCTAAGCCATTCGTACACGTCAAAAGCACCCGGACCTCGTGAATTTGGGCGTTCAATTGAAAGATCCATCAGCACTAAAACCGTGATACCACACGATACCCTCATGTCTGGGGATGGCCACTCCACCTGGCGCAACCCTCTTCCCAACCAGGAGCGGAGGCACGCGCATGGACAACGGCAGTTCCCGTCTCGGACCTCATCTTGCTCCTGCAACTCACTGGTCAAATCCTCCGCCTCTGGTGCAATGGACCCAACCAACAGCGAGAGCGACCAGACCAGTCACCAGCGAGAGCATGCATCACCCACCTCCGGCACCGGACCCGCATGCGCTTCCAGTTCACCCAGGGGTTCACTCAGAACCGAGTGCGTTCACTCGGTTCCCCTGCCTGGGTGAGATATTATATCGGGAAATCTCAACGGGGAATGCCGGCAAAACCCTGGCATCTGGCCCTTCGAACCCCTCCCAACGCACCGCCCTCCCTCCGAACACCTGGCGAACTCCACCGAGAGGCCGGGCCAAGAGCCGCATTTCGAGGGAGGTGAAGGGCCTAGGTGAACCATGTGGTTTGTCTACGGTAAGCGGTTTGTTAGCACCCTTCGACTCCACTGCAGTGGAGAATGTCCCTGAAGTTGCCTGGCTTTCGCTCATCTTACTCCTCTCGGAATTTCTCCATGTTTCTGCACCACGAAGAACCACTGCGACTCCACTGAAAATGGAATACCTGGTCACCACCCTCTGTGACCTTGGAGGCGTCCCGCTTCCCTGACCGTGTGTGGAAGGTGCATCTTTCTGATGCGTCTGAGGAGGCCTCCGCCCTGAGAAAAAGCATGTGCAGAGTGTCTGAGTGTCAGCTTCAGGTGAAACTACCTTGGGCCCCCCGGACCAGGAGCTGCTTTCCAGCTGGTCCAGGCTGAAGGTCGTCCCAAGCAAGCCTAAGGCCTTAGACTCGACGGTGCAGAAGGTCTGTTGATGGCATAGCATTCCACCCACCCCAAACGAATGGAATAAAAACGGAGAATCACTGTTCCGAAAAAAACCAGCTCTTCCAGCCTTGAAATGGCTGGGACGTGCGTCCTCACCTCCTGTCCTCCCTGTCCTAGATCGGCTGGGTCTCCGAGCCAGCTGCAGTCCCTCCAGCGCTGCCTGGATCGAGACCTCAAAGCAGCGAACGGTGTGACGCTGCAGACTCCCTCAGGGTTCATCCATTTGGTTCGGTCTACTCTTGCTCCCTACAGGCGCCTAGAAGGCACTAAAAGAGGTTGATTGGAGGCTGGCGCTATAGCCTGGGCTTCCTTGATTTATACCAACCTCCCAGTTACTACATGGGTTTTCTCACGTTTCTTCTCTTTCAGGTCCCTTTGTTCTGCAGCGGACATGCATCATCCTGCACGGCATGACTGCCAAGTCTTCCGTGACTTCCCTGGGATTGTATGGCCGCTGTGGCATCCTCTGGACCATCAGGCCAGTCAGTAGCGGGTCACAAGCGAGCTGTCTTGACCAAGTGCAGTGCTCCATGGCCAGTAGATGTTTCACACTGGGTGTGAATGAGGCGAGGCGCACTTCCGACACTTTTCAGATACAGCACTTCCGAAGTATGATCACACGGCAAGCTGTGCCTTTCCAGAGGATTCGTTTCTGGTGCCAGCGGGGGGTTCTTGAGGACGGTTTCTTGTGCAGCAACCAACCCAACCAAGGTCTACACCAGGTCCGAGGTGGGACCAACCAAGAACATCAAGCTCTGTGCGCCAACTTAGGATCTTCAAATCCACCTGGCCCCTGGCTTCAAATCCACCATCATGTAATGTAGACGGTAAATTGATCTAAACCCCCCCGACATGGATTGTAAAAACTGAGCTTTCTTCATCAACTGTGTACACTACCCCGGCACACACAACAGCTTATCCACAAGACACCCTTGAAGTTCCTGCCTCCTGGCTTTCAACCTCTAACTTGAACACCCACATAACCGGCCACTGTCATGTCTCTTGGGCGGGCAAGTTTTGCTACAAGAACTCAGTGAGCTCTCCGCAAAACTCTTTCAGATTGGAAGGTGAAACAGGAAAGAAAAGAATGCTACTCGTCTTTCCATCTACTACTGTTCGCTCTCCGGTCCTATCACTTTGTCTGGAGTTCTGGTGCACCCAGTGGCTCAGGTGCAGGCTCGCGAGGGAGTCCCCGACAAGAGCTGTACCACGGAGACCTCTCGGCCAACGGCGTGCGGCACGGCCACCGCACAGCCACCGCGCAGCCAGGAGAAGGGTCGATCTTCCAGGACTGGAGGGGAGCGACCGATGGATCCAGTTTACATGAAAACCGATGTGTGTTAACCGATGCCTGTTCTTTCTGGCACTAAGAAGTCACTTTCTGTATATATATATATATATGTGGTTGCTGGGGGTGGCTCAACAGCTGCACCATCGGTGGGTTCGATCGGTGGACGCCGATCGAAGGTCCTCAGGAGATGAATGGTGCTTGTTCCATTCTGCATTCTTCAAACCTGCCCTGTGGTCAAACCTGCTGGCAGCTCAATGGGCCAGACTGGGCCAGACCCTTTTTGCTGGCTTGTTCGATTCGAAGTGTAATGATCCCCCAAGTTCGATTCAAAAATCGCTTCCACCTCCCAGCGGCGGATCAGCCACCGCTATTAGACACTGAAGATCCCATCTGCGAAGAACAGAAGAAACGGCTCCGTCTTCGCAAGTGTTGAACACCTGGTTTTCCGAAAGAGCCTCACCAGGATCAGTTCGCAAGGAGTTTTGGAGGAGATCCTTCTCCCACTGCTGCCGATGAGCGCTGGTTCCAGAGCGCATGGCCCAAGGTTCCAACAAACTAAGAAGGTCAAGACCCTCTGGGCCGCCAGACATATGCAGCAGCAATGAACCTCAATGAACGTGAGCACGGAGTCATGGACAAAGGTCCTTTTCCCCAATGCTGCTCACCAAAGAAGAAAAGCATATGCTTTTTGCACCAACCAGCGCGCCTTTGCCGTGGCCATTCCGAAACACGAAAAGAAACTGGGCACGAACTCGCAGGAGAACCGTGGGCGCGCCGTTCGCGCCGTTCACGCCGTTCGGATGCGGACGAGCTCTTGACCCATAGAGACAAAAGCCCTTGAAGGCGCCATCGCTCATGAAGCCATCCTGGGCGGCACTGTCCTCATCCTGGAGCGCTCAGAGAAGTAGGCCACGCGATCCAAGCCGCTGTGCGCTGTGCTTATCAACCAGCCACAACTCTGCATTCTCTGCAAAGCACCTACTGTTGAGTAATTGAGATGGCTGTCATTGACCCGAGCTGGATCAGGAGGAAGTCTTTTGCTTCGCTGGGCACGCTCACCGTTGTGATGCGTTTCGATGGAGGACAAGCAGAAACATGCCCCCTGCAAGTCAAAGACTATAGAAAGAATGGTCTTTCGGTGGCACGAAAAGGGGCCTCCTTTACTTCACTGAGTCAAAATATAGTCGTTTGATGTCTTTTGTCTTTAGACTTCTAGGGTGTCTGAATTAAACAATGAACAGTTGAACAGAACGAACAGTGAACCGTGGAACCGCAACAAGTACGGCCAAAGCAAGTCGCAAAGCAATGGTGAACCTAGAGGCATCACCCATGACAAATAGACTTGCCTAGTACGCCAGGCCATGCCCCTTGAACCGGAGAGGGGGAAAAAGGAACGCCACGCCCCAAGACATGCCGGATCCACATAACGACCTCCGGTCGTACCGCTCCCTGCGGGGCCCAAAGGTGGGAGCGGGGGGGCTCGTGGTCTGGGACGTCATCCGTCGGTGACAAGTGGACTGGAGGGCACTAGGCCAAGTCCACGTGGAGGCCCAGATGCTGCACCCAACTAGGGGCCAAACCATGGAGGGGTCGTGAACGGTGCGACTAGTGAAATGCTCTCGTGCTCTTTTTGGGCGAAAGCGAGGTCTCGTTCTTTGAACGGGGCCTTGGTTTTGGGAACAGCACGGCAGCATGCCACCCATGGCAGCAACTAACAACACGAACAAGTTGAGAACATTCATATACCTGGGTGCCTTCTATCGCGCCGTGGGTGCCCTTCTTTGTCATTGGGAGTGAGCATCCGACACACACATCTTCACAGCGCCATGGTCAAATCAGCGCAGTTCCACGCCTTGCTCCGGCGCCAAATCACGCGCCAGGCGCCGAGCGAAGAGCTGGTGCCCGTACCTCGTGCGGAGTGTGCCGCGTGCACGGCACGAGCGACCTGGGTGCGTTCCAAAGAAGCCGGATTGCGAAAAAGCCCCATTCGGCTTTTCACCGACGTTTATCAGTTATATAGTTATACAAAGAAGGGAGCGAGGCGGAGCCTGCCCTTCGTGTTGAGCCCTTCGTGTCGGCGACTGTCCGAGAAGTTCGCGGTGTATACAAATATAAATATAAATATATATATACAAAGGAAGAGTCTGGGAAGGGCTTGTGTGGTCTGGCGTTCCGGCCGAAATACACCCGTCGGGCACTCCGCAGCTTCCGGAGGCCATTCCCAGAGGAACCTGGTGGCCGGAGCGTGAACGAAACCGGACTGTCCAAATCTACACCATTGTGGGATCCCTACAGTACTGCCTAGGGCTGCACTACTACTGGTTCTCTTTTTCTTCTGCTTGGATTCCAGGCAAACCTGGTGCCTCGGCAGCTCCCTCACCTATAGAGGAGAAGTCAAGTCATCCACATGCTACCTGAGCTTCACTACTAGCCACAGTTGCCAAAACGAGAATCACGTGTCCAGACACTACCCTAAAACCGACGTCACTCGTCTTGCGTTGATGAGACGCACCAGGCTTTTGGACGATAGGATCCACTAGGCTCCGATCGGTTTTTGGGAGTCCAGCCATTGTTCAAAGTCCTGGGTGGGGCGCACCCCAGTTGGATTTGGGGCGCACCCCGCTGCGTCAATTACTGCCTTGGAAACCAACCATGACTCTTCCCATGTTCCACACGGTCTCCACCGCACCACGTCCACGTCCGGGCCCGGCCGCTGCGCCAGCCGCGCGGCCGCTGGGTGGACCGGGCGCCCGGCCCGCAGGGCCGCACCTGGACCAGTTACATTCAAGTGATGGGGCTGGGGCTGGAGGGCGCTAGGGCTGGCATGTGCTGCGTACGTTGTGGTGTGTGTGTGTGTATTGTCCTCGTAGGGGGTACGTTTCGTGAAGTGCGTGCACGCAAGGACCTAAGGCAGCACGCAAATGATAGAATACGTGCATGAAGGCCTGACGATAGGATACCAGGAAACAAGTTAGGTTGCATTTTGACCTGCGGGGTGGCACTGTGGAAATTGGATGACAGGACATGTTTGGAGCCTTAACACCTGAACACAAGGGTTTTCTTGATTCGCCTGGCGGCTCTTCCTGCAAGCGCTGCCTGAAGAGTGTCCAGGAAGGATCCTTGGGAGGAAGAGGTCAGATGTGGCGGCTGGGCCCACAACGCTGACACGTCGTCAGGAACCAAAAATTTTAAGAAAAGAACGTGGAACACAAAGTGGCACACATCTCATCAAGAATCAATCACACGCGCATCGCAGTCTTTTTGGATTTGTTGGTGTGGGCCGGGGGCATTCCGATGAAAAAACAAAAGAATCGTTCACGATCGTTCACGTGAATTCCCGCTGCCTGGTGAGAAACATCTCACCTCGTCATGCAAAAACGCAAAAAAAACGCCACGCGGACCTCGCTCGCTTCCTCGCTGTTTGGACCTCGCGACCCGACGCGACCCGACGCGACCCGAGCACCAGGCCCACGCGGAGCCTTCGCAGTCCAAGAACCGCGGCACGCGTAGGCCTCCGGCAGAAACCCGGCCGAGGGGCGGCCCTCGAGACCCGGGCTGGGCCGCAAGGAGGGCCGCGAGCGGCGTCCCCGCTTCTGGAAGCAGAAACGGGGAAGAGCGCCAGCATCCCGAAATGGAAGGGATAGAATTTCTGGGGGACAGGTCGAAAGCAGGTGGTTAGGAACCACGGTCCCTGCAACTGTTGAACACTTAGGTACATCATGGACAACCAACTGCAATATACGTTGCAAATAACTGTTCAAGACATGTTTCCAGGAGTCAGATGGAGGTCACCGGTGCTGCGTTTCCCCATCCAGGACCCCATGGCGTCCTGCCCCCTCCCACCGGTGCGAACCGCTGCGTACCGTCACCAGCCTCGGGGCACGGGCACCGCCAGGGCGGTCGAAAGGTACCAGCCTCGGCAGACCGGGCAGACGGCTAGACCGGGCAGCAGCACCAAGGAGAAACAGTTGGTAGGAGGAACAGGGCTCTAAGTCGTCAAGCCCCAGCCCCAGGCGAACTCTAACCCGATGCATGGCGGCGAGAAACGCGTGGGCTGGAGAGCCGGTGGTGGAAAGATGGAAAAGAGGGGGATGTAGGTTGTGAGATGGATTTTAGAAGACTGTGGACATGGGCTTGCACCTGACTCACCCATGTCCGCATTCAAATTTGCCCACACCAATTCTGCATGGCACAAAGCATGAAATCTCATCCAAAACTGCTTCGTTTCCTTGGTTTGGGGTTTCTCTCGGTCGCCCGTGCGGGCGTGTTCCTCATGGAGCCACTCCGCCGTCTCCTGTCCAAGCCTCAGCCGGCGAGGGCGGCTGCGTCAAAAACTGTTCCACTGATCCCAAACTGATTAGATCTGCAAATTCCTCCAAGATTGGCCATGGAAAGCCCAACATGGAGCCCCAATACAAGTTGTCCCTACACCATCAACACCACGACCACAAATGGCTTATGGTTTTCCATCACCAGCACTGAGCACTGCTCACGTCCGGCAGCACGTTTACCGGTCAAGCCGCCGCTGAGCCTCCCAACAACGACCACGCCTGGGCGGCCGTGGCGATGCCCATGGGCCACGCTGGCCACAGTGGCGACCGCGGTGGCCACGGTGACCACGATGACAGGTGGGGCATCCCACAAGCATGGCGTCAAGTGAGCAGCTGAACCTCGCACCAACCAAGCAATGCTCCTGCTATACAAGAACATCGGGCTCTAAGAAAGGCATCACCCGTGGCGGGTGAATGTGTGAAAGGACGCAATGCTGCAAAACCCCAAAATGTTCCATGATTACAACACGAACGCTGCGATAGACTTAGACGCCTCGCTCATTGTCTGAACGGTGCCATGTGTTCTCCTGGTGTTATGTACGGTAATTGTAGGCTTCCTGACAATCTGAAAAACACCTTGGCAGACCGGCACACGCAGAAGTGGCCCTTGCATTTCAGAATGCACTTCCTTAACATAAGGAGTGACCACACACAACAGGCTGGTGACTCATTGGTCGTGAAAGCTTCAGTGCATCTGGCACAAACGCTTTCTGGCTTTCTTCGCAATAAATGCTCGAATGAAACAGCGAAGCCAATGCCTCACTCAAGATTGGTCTTCCCTTTACTCTGTCCATCCAGCAGCATCTGCTGGAGGCGATCAATGTCTAAGTGAGACAATACCGGTGCCATGAAGCGAGATCCCCAGCTAAAGCCTGCCACCAGCAAGGATGCTATCCAACCATTTCGCAAGTTGGCAGTCACTGGGTTGCCCAACAGTTTTTGCTTGTCATCATACGCGCTCAGCCTGCGTTCAATGGCTTGTAATGCCATGATCACCTGGTCGCGATCAGTACCAAACGGTAGATGAATTGCCTTAAGCATTGCATCAGTTAAAAGGAGCGTGTCCCGGTCCAGGATGTTGTTGATTTCGATGCACACCTCAAAGACCCGAAACATCGCAAAAATGAGAACGAATGACAAGAAGCTGATCAGCAAGAAAGCGGGTGAAAGGGGATCTCCATACAGGGACCACTCGACCACGCCGCTGAAAGAGGAAGCCCCAAATCAGCAGGAAAACAATGACCCCACAAGCATCCATGATGGAGGATTCATCTTTGAAATCAACCTGGATGTACTGGCGCACTGCCCACCATGCTTCCACCTGCTTGACATTCTTCACTTGGCGCAAAGCTAGCGAGCCAAGCAAACTTTTCTTCGGCGTGCACAGCTCCGTGCCAGGCGCTCCACCCCAAGCAGCCTGCCAAGTGGCATCCCATGCCAGGTGCCGTGCCAAACTTCATTTTCAGACTGCCGGCTGCTGGCATGACGTTAGGGGCCATGCCAACCGGCACGCCCAGGCGCCATGCCAGGTGCCATGCAAGGAACCATGCTAGGCGGCGGCATGCCCGGCACTTCTGGAACTTGCGTAAAAAATGTCCAAGGCTTGTCCACTTCCCCCGCTTCCACCAATGACTCTAGCCTCTCCAAAACAAGGTTCTTCTCCACATGGTCTTGGTTTTGATCCTTGATGGAAGTCTCCAACAGATTTCTCAGGCCACCCCTTTCTGCAGTCAAGTGGTCCACATCCATGGAGGACATGAATGAAAAAATCAGCAACTGATCCCGATTCCTTCTGATTCTTTGCGTTGATGCAAAAATGCCAGAAACCGTGTTGAACCAGCCTGAGTCTGGACACAACCAAATGATCATGCCAACCTCCAGCCATGACTGCCCATCAAGGGGGCTAGCACTCAAACCGAAAGACATGGTCTTGTCCATGACCTGGTGCAAGCTCCTGGCACTGTGACGATCGATTCGCAGCTGCAAGTACAGCAGTCCAACAAACATCACTAGTGTTGACGTTCCGATGACAAACTTGTCAAGGCCGCACCGAACAAACCGTTCGATCTGCGAAAAATTTACGGGTATATGGTTTTTACTGACCAGCCACGTCTCACAGAACTGTTTCTCAAATGCTTCGATTGTCTGATACACAGATCCGTTCTCACCATCTTGATCCCCACCGAGCTTTTGCAAACCCACAAGGGCCGAGCAAAGAAAAAACAAGCGCTGCGAAACCTCACACAAAAGGAATCTGTTTGCAACAGGGCCCCCCAAACCATCACCTTTGCGGCACCAGAATCGGCCAATTAGATTTAGCCCTGTGGGGCTGTGGGGTTGCAAGTTCCCGGCATGTGATTTGGTGGGGGTTAAAGGATCTGCCATTACAAACGCAATATGTCATCGACCTCCATCTATTTCTTCCACCGTTGACACCTGAGTTGACAGGCCCGACCAACACGGATCAAATTCAAAACCATTTTTTGTTTCCCAGACTAGCAGCAACGACAATTTCAGCAAAGCGGACTGCTGACGACATCCAAATCTTGGCTGGATCAGAAACACAACAACAAACGTAACACCACAATGTTTGTGCGCACCGTTTTCCGACAATTTTTTTTCCTCCTTCCTTCCCCAAAGCAGCGGCGGTCACTCTATGTACAGCCGGGCGCGGGGGTTTTGGCGAGCGCAAGGATCTCCCCGAGGGGGAGTTCGGCGGGGCCGGTGGGGCAGGGTGGCGCGCGCCAGTCGTCCCCCAACAGCGTGGAGCACAAGGCGCGCTGGAGGGCGACGCCAAGAAGCCCCCACCAGCAGCGGCTCCACCCGGCAGCGGCAGCGGTGCGGAGAGCGGGGGGGGCGCGCCGGGCGCGAAGTCGGAGGAGGCGGCGCAGGAAGGTCAAAGACTCCGCGTTCCAGCGGCCACCGACCTCGCAGGCAAGGACGAGGAGCTGCTGCGGGCCTCCAGCTGCAAGCTCAGGGTACCGACGGCGTTCGTTTTTTGTACACAATCATCCACAAATGTGTGTGCAGTGTGTGTGCGTGTGTGTGTGTGTGGGCATATATGTAAACATGTGGGTCGGCCCCTGGTCCTTTGAAAATTGAAGTGTGGCCGCAGGAAAACATCTTCACAAGTGACGTCAATTGGACTTCTACTCGCGGCCAGCCACGCAAACTGCACACCCAAATCTTCACGTTTATGGTTATGTACCGGGGCAAACTAACGTTCCATACTGCTACACGCACACAAGTATTTCCTCCTGTATGTTTGAAGTAAAACACCTATAGTTCCCGCTAAGCAAACAAAATGACTGGGCACGGCACAAATACGCCACCATCCCTATGCCAGACCATGCATGTACAGGCAAGCTGCACCAAGCAACCTGTTTTTGCGAACATCGTTTTCACCAAGCCGCGCTAAGGTAACAGGAGTTTGCTGAGGACACCTGGCGTGCCTCTTGTGAAAAAACACCATCAGACTGGTCACTCAGTTGGTGACAGGAGGAGAACCCATGGCTTTCAGCAGAAACTCCACCGGGGTGCTGTGCCCAGTTTTCGCCGCCATGAGCAGCAGGAAGGTGCCATATTGGGGATCGACCTGGTCTGGGTGGGCTTTGGCTTTCAGCTGTGGCGCCGGTGCCCGTTCTGCGCGGCCCTGAGCCTGAGCAGCGGGAAGTGGCCATTTTGGGGATCGACCTGGTTTCGGTTGGCTTTGGCTTTCAGCAGTAGCTCCACGGGGGGCATTCTGCGCGGCCAGGAGCAGTGGGAAGGTGCCATTTTGCGGATTGACCTGGCCTGGGCTGGCTTTCAGCAGAAGCTCCACCGGCGTGCTGTGCCCATGCCGCGCGGCCATGAGCAGCAGGAAGTTGCCATTTTGGGGGTTGACCTGGTCTGGGTTGTTTTTGGCTTTCAGCAGAAGCTCCACCGGGGTGCTGTGCCCATTGCGCGCGGCCATGGGCAGCGGGAAGGTGCCATTTTGGGGATCGACCTGGTCTGGGCTGGTTTTGGTTGTCAGCAGATGCTGTGAACATGTATGGCCACAATGGATGCTTATATAGCCCACAGCAAAACAAATTGAATTAAAGAACTCTCTCATTAGTTTGGACTTTTCGAGGTCTTCGGATACCAGTCACATGCTGTGCCCTGCCCGCAACAAAAGTCCGCCAGCTTCCAGACGTGCTCAAAGCAGGACCTTTTTTGCTGGCCAAGTCTTAAGGCGTGCACGTTTACATTTTGCGCTGGCTGGTGTCAACATTCGCGCATTTGCTTGCTACTTCCCCACAGCGTGGGTTTCCGACAGTCCGATGGATAGAAGCACTGTATGAACCGTTGGGTGTTTTGATGGCTGGTTGTGTTCAAAATGAGGTTGTTACTTGAGGTTGGACATGTCAATTGGCGCGTTGACCACAGAGGCTTGACCGCCCAGTTGATTGGTGACGGCTCGCGGTGCTCATATCAAAGTGGTGGATTCTCACAAGTGGTTGGAACACATGTTTGCGACGAGGCTGTCGTATACACAATCGCATCTGGACGTGGTGCATAGCGCAATGCAAACATTTCATGCTTCAGAATCCGTGTTGTGCGACAAAACGGTTAGCATCCAACAATGGTTTCGGTATCGTGACCCCGGCCCAACGAGGAAGTGGCTGAGCAAAGGTGCGGGTCGTCAAGCGAGGTCGCGCAGAAGGCAGGCAGTGACCGCAGACCGTCGGAAAAAGGGATGGCGGGCAGCAAAAACCCAGCGCTCCGAGCAGAAGAGGCTGCGGGCTATTGGAGCGTTCCAGCCTAAGCCTGAACGCGATGGTTCGCTTCATCCTCGAGCTATGGTGGTGAAGGGACCGGCCGTGAAGTGGAGAAACCAACACCGCGTCGATTTCCAGGTGGGGCCGGGTGAGAACTACACGTTTCACACTATGGCCCCAAGTGCCAGTTCCAAACGCCCAGCATCTCGTTTCAAATTGGGGGGGGCGCCGTGCGATTGACCCTTCCCACCCGCTTGGCTTCGTGGAGACCGCGCCGCGACAAGTCGCGTGGCAGGCGGACCGTACGCGGCAAGCGCTTGGGAACGCCCAAAGCTGGTGGACCTCGGTGGGATTTGGGACGCCAGAAGCTTTCAGCTCGATGGCTGCGTATGGTGCGGTTCCATTCGCTTTGTTTTGGTCGGTGTCTGTTTCTTGGCCCTTTCTTCCGGTCCAGTGGTTTTTCTGCCCATCTGGTCCGTGGAGACAGGCCACTGGAAACCATGAAGGCCCGTGGAACCACCAGCTTTGGAGAACACCGCTGAAGCGGGCGTCCCCCCCCTCCTTCGCAGGGCGTGCACTCTTTGGGCACCGGGAGCAACACACGTCGAGGGCCTCGAAGCTGACGAACCTGGCAGATCACTTTGTCCTTCTTCCAGAGCTCTCCCCTGTGGAAGAAGCCGCCGCGTCGATGTATCATCTTTAGGGCTGCACACCGCCAGTGGCCCGGGTAATCGGACAGCAGGGTGTCAAAACCCTTGGAACGAACACGGCGCCCTTTTCGGTCGGAGTGGTCAGGGGCAGCACGGGCCGTTCCGGCATGGGCCTCCGTTCACGGCTGGGGCGAGCGTCACTGATATGCAGGAATCGAGGCGTTCAGGCTTTCGTGTTGGCAGTTTGCTCTGCCAAAAATGGGAGTTCCTTTTGGCTTTACACGAAAGATTGAGGACCCAGGGAATGCTTTTCTCAGTCATTTGTTTGAATACCCGGTTGGTAAACGCGTCCAAAAGATTGCAAACATTTGTTCCATGAAGAAAATTTCGCGGCAGGGGTTGAAAACAACTACTCGCCTCCTCTGATGATGTCCGTTGAGTTTGTTAAAATTCCACGAGTTGTGCCAACGAGCGCGTGGATTGCTAGTGCCAAATGCTTGCTGCCTTCCGGCCGCCTTCGAGTCGCCTGCGTGGAAGCAGGCCTTTCAAGACTCCTTCTGTCACAAAGTTGTATGTCCTTGCGTTGCTGTGTTTGTCCGTATCTCTGTTGCACACTCATCCACTGCACACCTTGTGCAACCACGACGAAGTTTACCAAAACTCCAGGTCCCAGCAGTCACGTTCGACGGGGTGCGATCCATGGAGGAAGGAGTTGGGTGCCCAGAACATCGGGACCAAACACCACCCAATTCCATGTGACTCCTGGTCGAAATGTGTGGGTCTGTGGCCCACGCCTATGCTTGCGTCCAGAGCAACAAGTTGAAAATATCATGCGACAAAGCCTTCCGCAAAAGGAGGTTTGTCAGTTCACCGGGCACTGGGTAGGCAAGCAGCATATGTAGCATTGGCGGCATTGAACGTGCGACCAACCCGGAAACTCACGTGGGCGCCCGCATTGCCTGAAAAATATGTTAATAGCCAAAACTCTTACCTTTCCAGCAGGGCCCCGTGAAGCAGACCGTACTATGCGAAGCTGTCTTTCAGTATAACGGACCCTGTCTAGTCGTACCTTTAGCTTATCCTAAGGCTAAGCGTGCTGCGAACAGTGAGTGCCAGGGCTGCCTGCGCCTAACCAAAACTGCAAGTCAGCGTTGACACCATAGGTGGCCGCCACGGGAAGTTACACAAAAACATGTCTCGTTTCACCTGTTCCAGCAGCTATCCTCCCCAAGTTTGCCATCTCTGGGTTGTTTCTTGCGTGCCAATGCAAGAGTTCGACCCGGGCGGGAGCTGCAAGGGCACGCCCGTGAGCTGCAAGGGCACGCCCACAAGCTGCAAACACGCCAACGGCAGAGGCACCAACGATCCCCCATTGCCTCGAAAACAAGTTCAACAATACCCTAGAGGTCCAAAGACTATATTTTGACCGGCTGAAGTAAAAGACGTTCCTTTTCGGATCACCTAAAGACCACTCTTTGTATAGTCTTTGACTCCCAGGGAATATCCAACAAATAAAGTACCAGAACTAGTACCAGAACCTTTCGTCTTTGCTCTCACGTTTTGCAAATGGGGGTTGCGAAAACCTGCGGCTGCGCATTGCATCATGGCAGCGGCATGGTGTTCCTGCGTTGCGGCGCGGTTGAAGGTCTTGCGGCGGGCTGTGGGAGGAAAACGACCCGAGGGAAAAGGTCTCGCGAAGAACCTCCTCTGAAAACACAAAAGGCGAGATACAAGTCCTTTGCCAGAAAGGCAATTGGGGACAGAACTTGGTTTGAATACATTTAAAGTTGGATATTGTTGGTGACTTCGCGGTTGCGCCTATGAATGTTGTCGATCTGTTTTCATAAGCAACTGGTGAAGCACGCTTCAGGCCATAGCATTTCTCTGAACCATCACACATTGCAACACCCACGGGTCGTCCTGACAATAATGCCAACACCATGCAGGCACAAAACTGCAAACACCTGAAGACTTCGCAGTTCAATGCCACATTCCC